TTTTTTTTTTTTTTTTTTTTTTGGTAAAAAATTCCAGTAACTCTGCACAAGAAACCTTTTCAGGAGGAGCTGATGAGAAGCGAATTTTAGAAATTCCTTCTTAATTTCAGAAGAATTGAGCTTTATATAGTTTCCTCACGCCAGAATCTAGGGCTTTGTTTTTTGCATGTCAAGTGTTGAAGGTACACTGTCTTCTAATTCTCCTAGTTCTGGGTTTAATTCTCCTAGTTCTGGGTTTTACTATCGATTAATTTGCCGCGTTTGATCTTTATAGCATTGAATGAGGACTTTGTGTTCTGTTCTGCGTGGTTGTGGGATTTGCTCCATGACTGTAATGTATGTAGTTCTTGTTCGTTTTAGGGTGTTGCATGCGGTGTTTTGCTGTTTGTGAGGAGTGTACGGTTTATAAATTGAAAAATTAGCTTGATAGAATATGGGTTTGGGGTAGCGGTTCTTGGTTTTCTTTATTTGAGATAATTTTATTAATTTATCTGCTGGTACCAAGAATTGGTATTTGGGAGCTAAGTTCTGGCCAGCCCTTGTACACTGTTGATTTAATTTACAGTTCTCATCAATTGCTTTTAGTTTTCTTTGCACAATTGTTTTCTCAATTATTCTCCTGTCCATCCATATTAGCTCTATTGTTATTTTGAATGCGTAATGATGCAAGAATGCGGCTGTCAATTCAGCTGAGAAGGATGGTTGGTGATACCCGATCTTCCAGAAATAGCAAGGATGAAGGTTACGGTCGTAAGTCGACAAAAAAGGCAGATACTAGAAGATCAGCTTCTGGTGCAAGAAGATCAGCTCGAGAAGAATCAGATTCCACCAGAGTGACGGCACCATGTCCTCAGAGCATGCGGAAATCCAAGCGTATTGAGGAGAGAACCCCACCTTCGACTCCTTCCACAAAGCGGAAATCCGAGAGACTGGAAAAACAGAACACGCCAAGTCCTGTTGGACCTGTGAGGAGGTCCGTCAGAGGTAAGAATGACTTTTCACCTGAATCTTCTGGGTCTAAAAAAACCTCAAAAGGACTCGGTTCGCTGGACTCAAAGAGCAAGAAAGAGAAGAACTTGATTCAGGTGACAATGGAATCTGAAAAGGCCGAAATTGACCCTGAAGTTGGCATGAAGAGAAAAAATATGAACTCGCGGTCCTACATGACCTTGTTCAAAAGGCAGCGCATCAAGATTGTGCCGGGTAGTGCACTTGTTTGTGTCAGCTAGTGGATCCTTATTTTTTCACCATTATAAATTTTATGCATTTTTCTTTCTGGCATTTGCTGTTTCTCTAAATTATTTCACTACGCCTAATGACACGTGTTCTTTTGCGTTTCGTTCTATTCTTCATTAGATGGTGAAGGGCGGCTGGCCGGACGAGATAAACTGTCTGATGTTTGCAGTGACAATAGCGGAGGCACTGACTCTGAACCAATGGGAAATGGAGTGGTTGGTACTGATGAGTTCAGTAGAAGGATAGTGGGTGATTCAAGAGATGAAAGCATTGATATTGTTAAAACTTCTGTTGAAGCTCTTCACAAGCCGCGTGAAAAAGATCATGAAGACATGCAAAATAATGTTAATAGGGCTTCTAGCCATAGAGACATAGCTTTGGATGAACCTTGTTCAAACCACTACATTACCAATTCGAGTGTCAGAGAAATGCCTGATTTTACAGAAAGATTGCCAACAATCTGTTCTTCTGCTGATTATATGGATCCCTCTGAATCTGAAAGTTCAACTTGCTTGGGGACAATAGGAGATGGTACTATATGGCCTATGGTAATTTAGATCTCATCTTACTTGTAAATAACTAACGGTAAACATCTGTTTCATGTCAGTTGCGGGGGATACTACTTCACCATCACCAAAGTATGAAAACTGTGATCTTCTGGGCACTTGTGTTCTTTGTTCCAAGTGTAAAAGGTACATTTTTTAACATATGTATGGTTAATATTTCCATTCCGTCCGTGCTGTAATAGAAATTACTGAAGCATTCTACAAACTGTGTAGAGTTTGATACTCATAAAATATACTGCAGCAGATGTCTATCTATGTGAAACCTATATGGTTTCTAAATGAGCTTAAATGAAGTTCAGAGGGGTCATTGGTTGAGTCGCTACTGAGGGGACTCGAGGCATGACAAATGATTAAAGTGGTACATGATTGTACACTAGGAAGTAGGAAATATGGAGCATGTGATTGTTTTTTCTGATGAACGATCAGGGCTTTTCCTCTTTGCACTAGAATTTTGCTGCATTTTCATGTCTACTGGAGATTTTTTTTCCATGTTTGTCTTTCTGAGATAGAGAACTCTAATTTTCTTATGTTAATAGAAGAATTCTCGCGTCAAATGTCGGTATAGTATAAATTAAGATGTGGTAAGTGGTTTTATCAAGGAGTACCAATGTAAGTGATGGATATAGGTTTTACTACTTCTTGATTGTCATTCTGTAGCTTCTCCCACTTGTGTGGATGAAAAATTTGAAAATAACTCTATCCTACTCTCATCTGGATCAACGAAGTATAAATTTAATAATTTATTTATTTTCTTCTTTGGACATTCTTAGCCTTGTCTTTTCCATTGTCATTATTTATCGTCATCTTTCTCAACCGTCCTATTTTTGGTGGCGATCCTGTGAAAATCTAAATGTGTTTGTATATATTTGAATATGTTGGATTGTATTGAATAAATACTAAGGTTTGAAGTGGCAATCATTGGACTAAAATACAACTTTGCATTTTGCTGTAATGGTGAAAACAAAGTTGAAAAAGCTCGCAGAGAAACAATATAGCTTTAGGTGTGAATTTGGTTACTAATGGAGGAGTCTATAAACTTTTTGGTGCATTTGGTTGACGAGTTAAGCTTCTTGGATGTTTGTACAAGGGGTTCTTTGACATTTTTTCTCTGAAACTTGTACTATATAATGGCTAACTTGCTCAACCTTATTAACAGTGCTCCATTGGGTGATTGTAAGACTTCTAATATTTCTGTTTTTCAACTTCTGGTACAGGATTGGCTATAATTCACAAAAGCAGGAACTTTGCTCGTGCAATCCTGCAGTAGACATGGACCAGGGCACCTTATCTACTTGTAAGGTTGGTCCTTTTCTTTTGGCATTACAAATGAGTAGGATGCTATATAGCTTACAGGATTCAATATTTTTGCTTTCATTATTGACACCTCTTAAGCAGTTTGGTGGCTATAATTGTTATGATCTTGAAACTTAACTTGAACTACATAGTCAAAGTTTGGAAACCTTCACTAGCTATGGAAATCTTTTAAGTCTATAATTAGAGTCTCAAGAATCCTTGTACAAGTTTAGAATTTTGAAGTATGCTTTGGATGGACTGTGTTGGTTTCATTAGTACAATGGATGTCTGTAAAATAAATGGATCAAAATTGCATATTCTAGTTATTATAAGCATAGGCTTGTTGATTGATTGGTATACACATTGTATTTCCACATTTTGATTGCAGATAACCTGGTCTCTCCTCATGGGTTCTCCAATATGGAAAATATGTTGTCTATCTAAAATTTATTATATAGTTACTATATATAACATCCATACTTATTCACACCTTGGCATATGATGATTTTCACCTTTCTGGTGCTTAAGCATTGCCTTTACAGGGGGTGATAGACATTTCTAATTGTGGTGTTGTCTTGTTGATTTCTTTATTTATTTTGGTTTGCACAAGCTGTGATTGGTCTCTGTTTCCGATTTGCTTTACTATTGTTTGGTGTGATCTTTTCCTTTCTGTTAGTTGATTTTTAAATGAATGCAAGTGTACTGTATGGTTTCTACTTGCTGTCCCCTTGCATGCCTAGTCCTTTGTCTTTTCTCACCTAGGGCGTCATGCAGGTCATTACATGTCCTCCTAGGGTCGCCTATTGCATTAGTAACTTTGAGCCAATATATTGGAGTTGCTTATGTTGCAGGGGAATTTAATATACTTATTAGCTGAAGAGAATCGTGACAATATCTTTGTAAATTTCTCTTCCCAAAGTATATTAGATCAATCTGGTAGAACTTTGTGTTCTGGTTTGTTTTATGTGATTGTGTTATTTTCATCTTGGGTGATGATTATTTTTCTGTTATGTCTTTAATTATCTGGAACTACCACTAATAAATGTGATAATGCTGTTTTTCTGGGAATATGTTGTAAATTAGGTTAGAAGTAATCATGAAGTGGCTGTTACCTCAGAAACTGCTGAAAAATGTGCCTCCAGAGATCTAACAGAGATGCTTGCAGATTCTCAAAAGGATGGTCATGAATATGTGTGTGCCCTGTGCAACAAAAGTGGCGAGCTCCTGTGCGTAAAACTTTATTGGTCTATCTTCTACCGATACTAGTTATGCAATATAGATAATGATATGCGTTTTAATTTATATTTGCATATTCCAAGTCCCCAATGGTTAGGAGTAATTAGTTGATTTCCTTCGGATATTAATTACATGAATATTTTGGTTACATCTAGATCAGTTACTGAAATGATGAAACTCATCGCCTTGTCTGTTCTTTTTTTTTTTTTTTTACCTTGGACGTTTTTAGAATGTGTGCCTTTAACATATTTACAGGTGCTGTGAGGGGAAAGGTTGCAAGAGATTCTATCATATCAGCTGTATAGATCCCCAACTAACTGAGGCTCTCCCTGGTGTGTGGCATTGTCCCCAGTGTGTGAAGAAGAAGCTTCTATTTGGTGTTCACTCTGTGTCAGAGGGAATCGAGTCAATTTGGGATGTTGCAGAAGTGGAGGTATCAAATGGTAATGGTTTGACTTGTTTATCTTTTATGCACGTGCATAGTGAGACTAAATTTTTCAAGGTCACATTATATTGTAACAATATGTATATGGTATTGATATTATAATGCTGGCATATCATTTGGTATTTGCAACATCGGTAGGCATTGTTTCAGATTTCTCACTCTTACTCTGTACTGATCACAGGAATTCGGCAGAAGCAATATCTTATTAAATACCATGGGCTTGCTCACATTCATAACCACTGGGCTTCGGAGAAACAACTGCTTCTTGAAAATCCTTGCATTTTCTCCAACTTTATTGAAAATAATTTGGTGAAGTTACTTTTTACGCAGATTTCTATTTGGATTGCCTAAATAACTAGAACAAAAATAGGATCATTATAGCTTAATCTGTAATTTATTCTTCTGTTTCTGCAGTTAGAGAGGTGGAATCTTGAGTGGACAAAACCGCATCGCTTGCTAAAGAAAAAATCTATTCTGGATAACGTGTATGTAGCTTCGTCCTCTGTTATTTCTGTATGCCATTATGAATGGCTCGTGAAATGGCATGGTCTTGGTTATGACCATGCTACATGGGAGTTGGATAATGCCTCCTGGCTGAGCTCGCCTCTGGGTCAGAACCTAATGAAGGATTATGAAACTCGTTGCGAAAGGGCTAAGCAAGAAGCTAATCAGGTGCACTGCTCTGGTCGCAATCAGTATGCCATAAAATATTGAATTTATATTTTGATTGTGAAAATGCAAGTTCTAGATTGGATTTTCGTTGGACATATGGGCAATTTTATTGTTTTAATAAAATATTAATGATTATGTTGACTTCATATTTAACTAAGTCTTGCATAGTTGTGCTACCTGGGCTCTGCTTCTGAATTTAGAATTTATGCTCCAGTTGAAGTTCTGGCTAGAATATCGTTGGTGTTGGATCTTTATTCGTCTTTCCCTTTTTCTTGTTGTTGTGCATTGCTATGGTGAATTTTGCATGATTATATATCAAAATTCAATCAGGTTGACTGGTTTGATTAGTTATCATATAACAGCTAACTGGTTGGATAAACATATTGGGGTAAGGATTATTAGACACAGAACAACTGCATGAGACCTAATTTCATGGAACAAGACTTACAGAGAAGAGATATGGTAGCAATAGAATAGACTATATAAACTGTTGAGATAAGATATGGTATACGTAATGATATTTACAGTTCAGCTCTAGTATATGTTAGCATGATCTCATTGAATATTCTGATCTTTGATGACAATGCAGCGTAAAAAGGGGCCTTTTGTCGAACTTTCAGAGCTTCCATCCAGTCAGTCACTGGGAAATGATAACCATGTGTTGAAAAATGTAAATAAGCTGCGCCAGTTTTTGTTCAAATGCCAAAATGTCGTCGTTTTTGATGATCAGGTTAACACTGTATTCTTTGTTAATAATTTATTTCTCCCTTTTTCCTTTACTAATAATCTGTTAGTATATTTGTGGCGTTGTTCTTGGTCTACACATAATTGCATGGCTTTTCCCTATTAGGTTGTGGTTGGACGTTGTTTGCTATCAATTGAAAAACATTCTGATTATTGATTCTTATTGCAATTTCTGTTAACAAAATTTGTCTCATCAACATTATGAAATCAGAAATCTGCAAATATGTTTTAAATGTCATCTGGTCTTTGCATGTATGTTTCCATAAAGAATCAGGATGCTATTAAACATATATAGTTTCCTTGCCTTTCCCCTGAAGCAGATATATTTTGTTCACGACAAGTGCACTCTGATACGAACAGTTCAATCCATTTTTAATGCAACTCTTTGTCATTATGAAAATTCTCGCAGCTTGTATTTTGCTCAGTTAAGAGTTTGAAGTATTATTTTGGTTATAATGTCTTATGGTACTTTATGATGTTTGCAAGCTACTGATATAATTGAGTTTTTCAAGTTCTTGTTATCTTTCGTGTTAAGGATTATGGCCATGTTTGGTAAATGGTTTTTTGATGAAGAATCAGGGTTTAGGCCTGTTAGCTGTTTTAACTTTATCTATCAGCTTAAAAAATCTTTTGAATGGCGGTTCAAGTTAGCTTTTTTACGGCCAAGCCGGTGCTGGTAGTAGCGTTTGGAGTTGTTTTTTAATGAAAAAAATTAAATACTTAATTAACCTTTCTATTTTAGTTATGCCTTCATGAATCCTCATGTGTGGTTATTTATTTGTCAAGCATGATCTCTCACTGTATAGAACTTGTGTTCAAGTATCTTGGCTATTACAACCACATGTATGTTTATGATGCATTGCAATATCTTAGAGAATTGAGATTGTATACCCATTTCTGCTCCTTGATGTTCTCGGGTACAGGTAGGTGTTCTTTTGACCCGAATAGAGGTTGATATTAATAGATATTGGTTCTAGATAGCTGAACTGAGATTATTTATTGTTGTTGCTTTGTGCAGGAGCTAATAATGACTATTTTGTTTTCCCTTCAATCTATGAGTGAAATTTGCCGGCCTTTCCTATTTGTCACGGCCTCAAGTTCATTGTCTCAATGGGAAGCTGAGTTTGCACGGCTGGTGCCATCTGTTGATGTTGTGGTATACAGTGGAAACAAAGACACCAGGAAGGGGATTAGAGCAGCAGAATTTTATGATGAAGGTGGTTTTTTGATGCTCCAAGTACTCCTGTCTTCTGTAGAAGCTGTTTTTGAGGTTAGGAGATCCCCTCAGCTTTTGTAATGTTTAGAGGCAGAATTACCCAGCTAGGCCGTTGGTCTATGTCGTCCCAATAAATATAAATTTTAATGATGTATTTCATGTATTTTTCACTTCAATATTTCAAAGTAGGACTGTGATGACCATGGTGTCAATGACGGAAATGAATTGTGCTTTATGATATAATTTTTCTGTTGGGACCTGACCAGGAGTATTAAAAAGAACTATGTGGTACAGTTGCTAGTTTTTGTGTTATTCTTCCTTAACATGCTTTCAATCAAATCGTGTAGGATCTGGACAAGTTAATGAGCATAAAGTGGGAAGCAATTGTAATTGATGATTATCAGCAATTTGGGGTATCAAATGATCCTGAAACATTTAAAATGCTGCGCACAAACTCAAGGATACTTTTGGTCAGTAGTCAAATAAAGGTATATCCTTCCCCTTGGTGCCAATTTTTTTGTTTATCATAGTATTATTGGTGAACTTCCTGTTTGAACTTCTCAGGATACAACATCTGAATACCTTAAAATGCTATCGCTGCTTGAGAATCATGCTGATCTTGACAAACTGAGGGCCTTGAAATCCGAGACAAATGACAATCTATGTAAAGTGAAAGATCGATTGTCACGTTTTATTGCGTATGGAAGCAAGTTTCAATTGTCTAAGTTCCATGAGTATTGGGTACCAGTTCAGATATCAAATTATCAGCTTGAGCATTATTGTGCTACGCTTCTTAATAACTCGGTCCAGCTTCGTTCCTGTTCAAAAGTTGACCTGGTGGGGGCACTCCGTGATGTTCTTTTTGCTGCTCGAAAGGTTTGGTTGTATGTCATTTTTCACTTATACTGCTAGACATTCTACTCTTTGTAAAAAAAAGTAGGACATACCTCTCGCTTATCCAGTTTTGTATCTAAAACTTATGTTTTTGAGTATTAATCTCAAAGACAAAGACCATGACTATGACAAGGGTACATGTTCTCTTACATGTCAAGTGGAAACATACAATCGTCGCTTGTGATGGCTAAGGGTTGGATTTATGTATATGGTTGTGGTTTAGCTGTCATTAATGAAATCTTCGCCCCTCCTCTTTTATGTTTGTAATATGAAATTTGTTTGTTTAGATACTTTGTGCTGTTAATGAGTATGAAATTCTGACTGCTTGTATCTATAGTGTTGCGATCACCCGTATCTTCTGGACCTCTTTGTACAAGAGAGCTTGTTTGCTGAGAAACGTCCTTTGCCTGAGATCGTGGAGATTGGGATAAAAGCAAGTGGCAAATTAGAACTTCTTGATAAGATGCTCACCGAGATCCGTAGTCGAGGCTTACAAGTACTTGTACTTTACCAGGTATGTCAAACAAATTAATTTCTAGTGAGAGCGTGCATGTCTTGTCAAGGTCAGCATATTATTAGTTATACTACTCGTCTTTGCCCCCTTTATTGCTTGGACTCTGATATAGGTGCATGTCCTGAAGAATTCTAGGGAATTGGAAATAGTTTTTTGTGCTGTAAACACAATGTGCATAATACAGGTTCCTATAGGAGTATCTCCTACCTATATTATATAAGGAAAATATTTTGCAAGAATGTCGAAAAATATCTTATAAGTAATATCATATTAAATAAGATAGACATGACCAGATTCATCTGAATCGACATATGATATGCCAGCTTGTTCTAGACAACATGATCATTTCTCTTGTTTGAAGAGTTGCATGCATCCAAAGAAACCAGTACCGTTTTAAGAAGCCTGAGCATCTGACCTTTCTTTTTTTTGCTTGTATTGATTGATTTACATGTCCTACACGGATCTATAATAATGATTATCTTCCCATATTTTAGCAGGCAGTTAGTGGTGCGCCAATCGGAAATTTCCTGGACGATTTTCTTCAGCATAGATTTGGTCCAGGTACTTACGAACGCATCGAACAATCAGTCACCCCTTCCAAGAAGCAAGCTGCTGTGAACCGATTTAACAAGAAGGAGACCGGGCAGTTTATTTTTCTGTTAGAAACCCGTGCTTGTTGGCCAATCATTAAACTTTCCTCACTGGATCTTGTCATCATATATGATAGTGACTGGAATCCAGCAAACGATTTGAGAGCCCTGCAAAAGCTCTCACTTGGTTCGAAGGCTGAGCAGATTAAAGTTTTCAGGTTATATTCATCCTTCACTGTTGAAGAAAGGGCCTTAGTTCTAGCAAAGAAAAACTTGAATCTCGACAATAATTTGCAAACTTTTTGCCGTACCGCGAGTGACACTCTTCTCTCCTGGGGTGCTGCACATCTGTTCGGCAGGTTAGATGAGTATCATGCTAATGGCGCCTCTGATTCGGCTCCAAATCCTTCTGGGCAGCTGCTTTTGAGTGAAGTTATCAAGGAGTTTCAGGCCATACTTTCCGAAAATGCCAATCCGAATTCTGTTATTTCAAAAGTTAAATTGGGTGTTGGGAGCTATAGTGGGGGCATTCCCATGTATGGAGAGACACAAATTCAGTTGGAAGATGGAGAGTCGCATGTTTTCTGGAAAAACTTGTTGGATGGAAGGAATTATGTTTGGAAACATTTAAGAAGCCAATCGTCTAGGAATCGGAAGAGAACTCATTACTCTCAAGTGTATTCTAGTATACCAGGGTCAGAAAGAGATGACATGGCAAAGAAACGAAAGAAGGTGATCGATGATAGTTCAGATCCAGCCTTAGTTCAAGTTGATTTAGGAGTGGACAAAGTCCGTCAAGTTGCTGGTTCTAAGGAAGGTAATAGATAGCTTGTCAGATTTACTTCTGTGCTAACTATAGGTGCCATGCATTTTACATTGTTCCCAATTCATTGCAGTATGTAATTCAGATTCCTACACAAAGTTGATAATTTGTTTTTCTATGTTGATGAAGGCTCATCTAGAATCAAACCCCGTAATCGACCGAATAATACACAAAAAGAAGGTAATACTTCCAACAATATTCCAAATGGCATTTCTGGTTGCAGCTCTTTTGGTGCTGGGGTTCCTGAAGGTATGCCAGGGGGAAGAATTGTATCATCTGATGAGCGTAAAGCCCTCCTCAGCTCTTTGAAAGCAGAGATGATGAGACTATGTCAAGTTCTTAACTTTTCGGTACCAAACTCTTAGTGTTCCTTCTCATATTCTTTCTTCGTCACATGGTTGCGTCATACTTGTTCTTTCTGGTCATATTGCTAGACTGATTGCTGAATTCAATAGTATTGCCTGGGCAATATATGGTAACATCAGTCTTTCTATATATCGATTTTTTTAGTTGTTTTTTACTCAATATATTGTTTTAAATTAGGATGCACCCGTGATGCGAAATTACATCATGTTGTGAATGCACTTCAGAAAGAAGGGAAAAAAAAATAAAATTCATCTCTTTCATAAGCAGACCCTTAATCTCATTTGATCTCTCTCAATTAGCAACAAACATCCCATTAAATTATTGGCTGCTTTAATATTGATGCCAAAGGTGTTAATTGATCTTACTGGGAAAATTGAAGAGTGACGTTTGATCAACTCTGTTATTAACACTGTATAATTTCCTCACTGCACTTGATTTAGTATTGATGTGTCACTGACATACTGTACAATACATGTTGATTTAGATTGTGCTGGGAGTCTACTGCAACTCCAGTTAGTATTGCCGTGGAAATTTTTCCAGCTATATAACATTGCTGTATACAAAAATGAGTGATTTTAAATATTGATTGGTAAAAGGTCAGGAAGGCTCATCATTTTGTTTCGAACCCTGAAAGATCTTGATGTCTATAATCCTCCGTTCTTCTCGACCTATTTAGTTTCAAAGAATTTAATTTTCTTATTTTGGGTTATGGTTGAATTTCTCCATTTGTAATCAAAAGTTCACAGAGTGGTTTTTTAGTTGAATTTCTCTGTCCATAACCAAGTTCACATGCTTATTATTTTTAGTTGAATATCTCGGTTCATAATCTATTACTCTTGAAGTTCATGCTTGCAATAGTGAAATGATTATCCCATTTTATGGTCTTTTTAATGTTTGAAGTGATATCTGATTTCTGTATCAGTTGTGAAACCTCACTGTAACAGTCCTGCTACTTAAGTGAAATCACCTTATTAGATATTTAATTATCTACTTTTTTTCACATGTTGACATCGCCTTAAATCCAGGAGGATGTCATTGTTATCGCATTGAGATTTTTGGAATATGTCATCAGTAAGCGCGATGTCAACACTGACTCACAATCAGTCGTGCAGGCTCTCCAAATTTCTCTGGTCAGTTTTTGAATAATTTCATCAAACAGATTCATGAAACCAAAAGACTCTCCCAATGTATGAGAGAGCTTTTATTTTTTGATTTGATTTTATCTGTCTTTACTATTATAACAGGAGGAATGATTTTGTAAAAATTGCACTATTTTAATTACTAAAGCAAAATAGAGTTTTATCTGTCGACTCATGCACACCCTAAGAGATATGATTCTTGCTCTATCAGTGTTGGATTGCAGCAGCAATCACGAAAACAAATATCGACAAGAAGGAGTCTCTAACGCTAGCCAAGCAACATCTGAGCTATCAATGCAATGAAGAACAAGCTAAATCGATTTATTTTATCCTCAAGGAGATGCATTACAAATCCAAGGATAAAATCATCAACTCAGGACGATCCTTTGCTGAGGAAAACATCAATAAGAAGGAAGCTGCTCCGACAGGCAACCTAAAGAAATTGCAAAAAAAGATTAAAAAGCGAAGGAAGAAACTTTTACAGGGTCATCAACAGGAGCTCCGTGAGTTCCATGAGAAATGGGAGAACGATAGGTTAAAACTCGAGAAGGATCACAAAGTGGAATCGGCCTTTGTTCGGACCGTTCATGGTCAGAGCTTGGCCAGGACGGACAGACTCAGGCTTTTGGATAATGACTTTAACACGAAACTAAAGGAGCTCAACCTCCAAAAGGATCTGGAACTTAAAGCTCTGGAGGCACGGCAGGTCGGAGAGATCGAAGAGGAGGAGAGAAGGACAACCGGATGGCTGGCCGAAGCAGAACAGAACTTGAGTTGCCCAGGTTCTGTTGGTGAGCTCGTGCCACCTGTCCCCCAACCCGAGGAGCATGCCAATGAGGGCCCTCAGCCGAACAGACCATCTGACGAGGCAGTTGGATGTGAGATTCGTGTTGAGAATTCAGGAACTGTTCCTGCACAAGAGGAAGACACGGTATCCGCCTTGGCTACAGTCGAGCCTGCTAGTCAACCGAAGCAAATGAATGATAATGACGAATCTGTAGTTCTTCCGGATCCACCTGCTTCTATGGACCAGGTTCCTGATGAAGTAAATGCATCAGAAAATGATGGAGTTGCTTCACCTGATGCTTTGTTGGACGAGAGATGTGGGCCTGATGAGGCCGCTGGTGGGGATTCACGAGGCCTGAAACAGTCGGTTGTCCAATCGGAAGGAAATGCAGCTTTGCCAGATTGTGGCAACTTGTCATCACAGAAAGTACGCGCTTTTTCCTCAAGCCAAATATCAATGTTACCTTCCTTTCATTTGTACTTAGTTTATTGGTCAGGTGAAAGTTAACAGCGTCAGCCAAATTGGAACGGTTGCATCTCTGTGTAGTGCTATTGCCATTTTTATTGTGGCATGCGGAGGATTATTTTCAAATATATTCTCTGTTAAAGAATATTGAATATCTTATTTTCAGGTTGTGGTGCCAAATTCACTAATAAGTGAATTGCTGTCCTCCACTTGCCATTTGGCTCTAGTGTTTT